ATAAAGAAGGATAAACCCAAGACTTTCATAGGTAAATGGATGCAACTTGAGGCCATACTCATAAGTGAAATAAACCAGATGCACATGTGTAAACATTGTATCATCTCCCTGGTGTGAAAAACTGAAAAGAGTGAATAAAGTCTAAAATGCATAATAGATATTGTGAGATGGGAAGAAATTGTTCAAAGGGAATGGGGAAGTAGGATGGGGGAGAGGGAAAAGGATGGAAGGGAAAAAGGGAAAAAAAAGCAAGTCAGTTATACTACTAGTGTCTCCTGGTTCACTGAAAGGTAAGGTTTGTGCCACTATCTATTGGAGAAAATTTTAATGCCCATGTCTTGTATTCGCAATAACTACTTTAAAGGTAACAATACGCAATGTATTAACTATTGTTATTTTTCTATTGTTTAGTTATGAAATTGTTTTACCTTGATTCCATAAAATAAAAAAAGAAATAAAATGAATAACAAGAACCCCTACCTCATAAAGCTTTTCGGTAAGGCGTAAAGCCACCAAAGGAAAAAGGTTTGTTTTAGCAAGGTCACTTGCTAAAGACTAGAACCAAGTCTCTACCTACATCTTGAGCTGGTTCTTCCTTCAAGAGCTTACTTCCTTCTGGGTAAGACAGCCACAAAGACGTGATGTGACTCTGTGCTCCTTCACCCCTTCCTCCTCCCAAGACAGCCCAGAAGAGAAGCTACTGACCTCTTGTAGGTGTAGCCCAAGATGATGCCAGCTCCAATGGCAATGATGATCACCATCATGGTAATACCCAGCACATAGCCTGCCGAGGACAGGACACAAGGTCCCATTAGCCATACCCCTCAGACAATGAGCAAATGACATCTCTTGGTGAATCCCAACGAGGGCAGTTGGTGGGGCTGCCATACCCAGAGTTCCCAGGTCCTTTTTGTCCTTGGCGTTCATCCGCTGGCTGATCCCAATCACTGGCTGCACAGCCGCCGCCTCGCTCCGGGCGGGCAGGGTGTTGGCAGGGGCAAACACCTGCGCCTCATCGGCACCGGGCGCTTCAGTCCTCTCCTCGGGCTCGGGGGTGGAGGCCGGGGGAGCCTGGGAAGTGGTCTCTGGAGGGGAGGTGGGAAACAGCTTTCATCAGAGACTGCCCTGGATAGACGCCACAGATGAACGCAGGCCAGGTGTTTTGTTTTGTTTTGTTTTTTGTCTTTTTGAGACAGGGTCTCGCTCTGCAGTTCAGGCTGGCCTTGAGCTC